TTTTCAGTGCAAGACTTTTAGAATTTTTAGTATTTCTTACGCATAAAAGGTAAAAATACGCACAGGTATTATTTCCATGCGAGAGTCCATGCAGTGCGCTCAGATAGGTGGGCAGTTGGGCAGGTAATAGATGGGCGCCCAATTAGGCAACCCACAAATGTAAATATTTGCATTGAATACGCAAATAACTGTGATCAGCCAATATGAGGAGTAATGGGTCAGTTTAATGCTAAAACACTTACGCACATACATATACATACGTGTATCTGAATTAAAACATAACATGCAATACATGACAGCCAGGGCGTATACACAACATCAATGTGTATGACACACAAGTGCATGTATATGTGTTTTTGTGTACGCCATTAGCAGGCAATTGATTGTTTTCTCAACTCTACTATTTCTTCTTCTTCTTCTAATGCATTCATCCTTTGGTTGTTTAAAAATTGCCTTTGCTTCGACAATCAAGTCAAATTAAATGAGAAAAAATTGCAGCTTTGCACGAACTCACCTGTCAAGTGAAGCGTCGGCTGCAATGAAAGCTTGAGCAAAGCGCTCAAGTTGCACAATGTGACTTCAGAATATTGGCTTGTAAGATTTTTATCACCTCATTTTTTTTGGTGAAAATTTTTGCTTTACTTTGTAATAAAATATGCTTGTTTTTGTTGCGTGTCAAATGCCATAATTTTCTCTGGCCTTTGAGCTCAGCGCTCACTATAACCCTCAGCTCATTAGAGTAATGTCCTTTGTCACCTACAAAGGTGTTAAACATAACGGCCAGTGTATTATGTTACTTAAATATCGCGTCGCTCTGAAGTTTGATTATCATCAAACGCAAATTACTGTGCATTATAAATTAATAATGATTTGTATAATATATTTCTGTATAATAAAGTTATGAACTTACTTATATTTCTTAAAATAATTTGTTTTAAAAATCTAGTCAGACATTATGAAGTAATTAATGATATGAACGGAGGCTTAGATGCAGATAAATGTGCTTAGTTCTAACGCAAATATTCATTTTTTTAAATATTGCGCAATTTTTTTATGGCACTTTTATAGTCGTGTCTGTCTTTCTGATATTTCTAAAGCATAATTGACACTTGGTTTATACTTTTTGCATTTTGAAACTTCATCTAAAGTCATAGTATCAAGTTGACCTCATCTTGAGTGCAGAAAAATATTATATTACCTAAAAAATATTTTTTAACAAAATTTCAATTAATTTTTATTCTTAAATAGCATTTCACAGTGTTTTGAGTGTAGAGTTATGTGTTGTTGGTTCTTTTTGAGAACAGAAGTTATGTTTTACCCGAGAACATTTGCTTTAAAATCTCTTTTTTAGTCACAACTTCAAAATGCTGTTCGTTAGCATACATGTCTTCACTTCTAATAAATGCTAATTTGTCCAGAGTCTAACAAGAACTCACTTTAAGGGCCACAGGGGCACCAAATCGATTTTTCTCGATAACTCACATAGTTCTTGAGTTCCAGTCTCCTAAAGTGTAGTTTCTGCTTAATACACTCAGCTTCATTAGTTTGTCTTGAAACGCGTTTTTATCAAAACTATATTTTGATATTTGACCAAAATTTTGGTTTGAATTCAAACTTTTTTAAAAACGTAACCACTTTGTGAATTTTCAAGCTATTTTCGAAAATAGGTTATTCTACGCACAATATTTTCTAGTAGAGATTTAACTTTTAGGTTTTATCCACGAAGAAGGCCAGAATCACTGTAGTAGTGGTGGACCTTTTTTTAAGGTTGAGTTGTGTTGCACATATGACTGAAAGATGTTTTGCAAATACCAATCAAACAATTATGGCTTATATCTATGAAAGAATCGATCACTTAATGTAGATGTTTTGAAGCCTAAAATATAGTTTATAAAGCCAAATACACCGCACTCTCTCTCTTTTTTACACTTTCTTTTTGCCTACGCCATCACTAAGAATTAAAACTTTTTTAAACATTTTATTTTCATGCTATCGAAAAATTGTATCGAATTTCTTTTCGAATTGCTGTAAACACAAATTGCATCAGTTACCGGTTTTTCCGAAACATTTCTCGCAAATTATACCTTTACAAAAATGCTTCAGCAGAAAAACGCAAAGCCTAAAATAATCTTGTCTGCGCCACCTGATAAGCTGTTGTCCAGATTCGACTTCCATTACACATGAAGTGACCACCCAGTGCCCTCACATTTTAAGTTTTAAAGTGAAAGGATTTTTTACTGCAACTTCAATGCTTAAGCTGCACAACGCAGCGGTACTTAAAGCACTAAAATTCATTTAAAGCTTCGTCTTCCTTTCGAGATGGCCGAGTCGAAATCAGCTTCTGCGGCAGATACTCTTCATCTCGACACTGCTATGAGTTGCAATACTTACACTTACTCGGGTTTTATGTATGTATAAACATATACATATATGTAAGTGCATTTATGTATGCGCAAGAGTACGATTGTGTGTGTGTGTGCATTGCGTAATTTCCGCCTTTACAAACAGGTTTACTTGCACAAACTGAATGTAATCGAAATGATGAAGTCGGTGATTTGGTTGTGGCTGATGGTTCGTGCGTTACGATTTTCACATGAATACTATATATATGGTGCTATATATGTATGTTATATACACATGCGACAAACATACGCATATTTGTGTGTGCCTGAGTACAGTATTATGGCAAGTGTGATATATTTGCTCTTCATATCGCTTTTATGTGATTTTTTGTTCGCATTTATGCAACACTTCTATCAACGCAGTTTAATACACTCAACTGCAACAAAAACAACAACAACTATAACAACATCAACATTCGACATGCTATCAGCGTGATGGCAAACCGCATGAGCTTCACTAAGGGAGTTCCGTGTGTGTGAGTGTGCGTATATGCATTTGTGTGTTCGTCTTTATGACCATAAGACGCCATATAGTGAGCAACACAACTGCGACGCACTCATATAAAGTGCAATAACAATAAAATGTACAGAAATAACGGAGCTATATAAAAGCTGAAAGTTAACGGCATAAAGCCGAATGTGAGCGCTTGCCAGCGTGCGTGTGCCGGCAGCAGTCATGTGCGTCCGGGAGGAGTGATGCACACACACACACACAATACACATACATAAAGCGTCTCATATATGTTGCGACACGTTGCACGCTTGTTGCGTCGCATAAAAATGTTGCAAGTATGAGTAAGTGCCGCGTCGGGGATTTGGCGCTGACAGCGTAGAAGTAAAAAAGAAGTGTAAGCAAATCTAAAGCAATAGCTCCGCACATAATAAAACGATATAAAAATGAAATAAATTCAAAACATAATGGTGACGTCGAGTGAAAATAAAATAATAAAAACTATATGTGGATGTCACGCTGTCTTACACACACACATACATAGGTAAATGCATACTCATGTCTATGTTTATGCCTTTATGGCTCAGGGGTCAAGGCGGCACTCGGCTGATTGCATGTCAGCGCTCAGCAGTGTTACTCGGCAAGCGGTAGTTTTGCGTGTTTTTCTGTGATTTGTGGAAGCTTTAGCACCTTTTGCTTTAATTACTTCGGCATGGCTTTGAAATGACTTTTAATAGCGCTGCGTAGTTTTGCACATTTTCGTTTTCACCTTTTTTGCTTTTTAATATGCATTTTTATTTGTCGTTGTGTGTTGTATGCTTTTCGTTGTATATGTGTACGTTTCCGTTATACAAAATGCTCAAAACACTCTGCTAAATAATTTAATAAATATATTTGAAGAAGTCAACTTATTTTGATGCATTAGGTATAAATAATAATAGCACATTGATAATAATTGAAATAAAAAGTTGTTGAATATTTATATTTATTTTAATAATAATTTAAATAGATTTAATAAATGCTGAAAAGTTCAAATATTCAAAACTGAGAATTATCAGCCTTTTAAAAAAATTAATTTTTTTAGTAATTTATTTAAGATTTTTTACCCTGAACAGGGTATATTAAGTCTGCCACGAACACCCAGTAGGTAACTGTAGGAAAAGTCGGAGATCCTAAAAAATATATATATAAATGATCAGCATGATGAGCTGAGTTGATTTAGCTATGTCCGTCTGTATATACACAAACTAGTCCCTCTGTTTATAAGCTATCGCTCTGAAATTTTGCAACTGTGCCTTCTTCACTAATAAGCTGCTTGTTTGTCGGGTCTGGAGCGATAAAATGTAGAACCCATTAGTCTACGCTGAAGGTGCCTTTATATACAGCTATGTGGAGTAAAAACAAAATCTAACATTTAACATATGTTAATGTGAGAATACAGTTCTGACACCAAATATAAATGGTAAAAAGATATTATAGTACAATTATTACATATAAAAATATTGTTTTAATATATTCTCTAAAAATATGGTAGGGCTATATTTTTATAACATTTTGCTTAAAATACATCATGGAATTAATGTTTTGCCATAGTTATTTGTTATAGAAATTTCATGGCATATATATGTTTTACTAAAATTGTTTCTTAGAAAATAAAGTAAATAATATGCTATAATTGTTAGCTATAAAAATATTTTGCTATAATTTTTCTAAAAAAAAATTATGGAAAAAATGTTTTGTTTTTAAATTAACTTTAATTAATATTAATTATTAATTTTGTTTTCATATCAAAACCTTTTATTTTTAATTAATTTAAATTAATCTTTATATCAAAACCAGTTGGCTTCTACAGCTAACCTAAAGTATTACACACATTAAACTAACTGCACTACTGATTTTATTTATAAAAATAAACATATATGTATGTATTTAAAATACTAATAATTCCACACTTTCATTAATTGTCTTTTTTTCGTGCTTTCGCTTTGTTCTACTCTACCTCTGTACTTTTTAATTTTCTAAACCCGTCGAAAACACCACATCCCTGACCCTCAATTCCACACTTGCCACCAATGACCACACTCAACAACAAAATAAATGCTCAAATATTTGCAACTGTGGTGTGTTTTCTTTTATTGCAACGCCAGTCTACATTACAGACCCCGACTTGATTTTGCCACGCGGCGAAATGGAATTCACGACGATGGATCCGATGTTGAAATAAACAACTTGCCACCGCAGAGAAGTTGAAAACTCAACAACAGCAACATGAAACAATGCATTTTAAGGAATTTCAGTTTGCCATGTTCTAAGATTGAAATTTTTTTATGAAACAAATTTAGCGTAAAATCATTATAGTTAAAATAAATTTAAGTTTTAGTCCAATTAAGAGAGCATAGCTAGCATAAGTTCAGAGTATTATAATAAAAAATAAATAAAAGCAAAAATAAAAATGAAATAGTTTCTATAAAATTTGTAAATATTTAACATAGTATGAGTACACAAAGCAAATATGTAATTCTAGAAATCATTATCGTTCAAATAAACTTCGCAGTAAAAGCAAGCTAGAAATACGGCAAATAGAGTAAATTGAAAAACCATATATGACAACAGCTCTCTTTGCAAAATTTATATTCGGTTTCTAAGGTTGGACGCTCGCTCATATACTCTTTCTTCGCCACTATGCGTCCAGCCTAAGTTATGAATTCCAACAACAGAGTGCGGCATGCCAGTTACCAATCGAGTTGTTAAGAAAATTAAATAATGTTCCCAATATTTTCGAATATTTAAAAAACTAAGAAAAGTTATATATATATGAAACCTATAAGTTTTGGAGCAAACCCAAAAGCATTGAACTTTTAACTTCGACTTCTTGTTAATTATAACATAATAGCCGTTATCTTTATAACAAAATTAAATATATAACAATTTTTTTTCAAAAATAGTCCTAGTTGCTAATAGTTAGGCGTATAGGTTAAAAAGCACGTAAGCTACCATATATTAATTTAGTAGTGTTTGGGTTTAAGTTGGCAGTAGATATATCTACCGTAGTTAATGATTTAATATTCGAAAAATGTTTCTCTACAGTTTCTGGTCTAATTTTTGATGTCTTTTGGGGTTTTGGGGTCTACCTAAAAAATATTACAGTACAAATAAAACTAATTTTTTGAATTTCTAGCAAAATAATATTTGCTATAATAGTAAATAATTTTCATTATAGCGATTAAGGACTAGTCTACCATAGTTTCAGCGTACTTCTCTTTTATCACTATCGTTTGAGGTCGATTCGTTTTGAGGTAAGATATATATCGAATTCAAAGTTCGACAGCCACAATCTTTATATATTTTCAACAAAGAGTGTGAATTGAATAACAACAAAAGATCTAGCCAGAATTTACAAAAAAAATTTAAGTTCCTTGGAAATTTTTATATGAATTAGATCGCTTTTCAAAAATAATTTTATTAACTGAACATATAGTAACTGAATAATCTAGATATTATTCAAAACATAAATGTAGCGATCTCGCTGGATATTTTCTAGTTCCGAGAGCCGATTATAATAATTTTATATACAGCTTTTATATTTCCTTACATTAATATACGATTATTATCAAGTAATTGTTAAGCTTAATTTATAAGCACTAAATAGTTAGTGATTACTATATTCCATATAAGAGCAGTGCCATAAATTTAAATTTTACTTCTATTAGGATAACTAAAAAAAACATTTTAAGCCACGTTTTATGATAATATGAAGCAAACTGAAATCCGGCCGCACTCTGTTTGAAAAAAAAATTACCAACTGTAAATGATTTTAAGCCAATAAGCGCAGTTCCCAGTTCCAGAAAACCAAGTACTTACAAGAGTCTACCAAAAATGCATTATTTAAATTATTTGTAAATTTACAACTATTACACTGGTTTTGCTATATAAATAAGCCTCTTAAGCGATAGTGTGCCCAAAATTGCAACTACAACTACAAAAAGGATAGTTACGAAATCTAACTAAATGAAAAACTGTACAGTAAAGGCGTCACACACACCAACATATGTATATATGCTATTTCATTGTAACCAAAAAAAAAAAAAAACAACAACAAAATATATAGTATAGTTAAAAAATAACTCTGTAAAAACAACAACAAAGCTAACAATTGAAATCAAACAAGTAAATTCAAAGATCAAATAGACAAAGAGAATAATCAAAATCATTTGTAAATTATTTCATTTTATATAGCGATTAGACAAATATATCTAGAGCATATATATATATACATAAACACATACATACATACATATACATATGTATAAGTTAAGTTTGGTTAAGTTTGACTAGTGTAGCTGATGGAAATCAAAAGGAATTACATTTAAGTTGAACAACGGTAAATGAAAATGTCGAATTAACCGCAAAATATAAACAAAGAATATGGAGATAAAACATAAATCAAATAAAAAATATAAATAAAATTTAAAAAATATATTAAAAATGTATGTAAAATAGTAAAGTATAAAAATAAATGCAATTGCAACAGCAACAACAACAACAGTGTTAGTGGCATTTAGTGTTTACGATAGTGTATGCAAAATATTAAACAAACATATACATAAATATATAACTTCATATACTCACACACACGCACACACATACCCATGCAAGCAGAGCTGCAGTTAAAACAATAAACTCCGTTGGAAATTCACAAATTTTTGCTAAATGTAATTTATTCTCTTCAAAAGTAAACAGCATTCAATTAAAAATAATAATAAACATTGAACCATATTAAACAACAGTAACAACAACAAACGATACTCTTGTATAAAGTTAAAAGAATATTAGCAAATACTTAAAAAACAACAATGCTGCACTGAAGCATAACTGCTACCAACAGCTGTTAAACCTCTCTGAGACTTAGTTGCAGAAATAACAAATAAAACATTAAAAATAAAAAATAAACAAATAAAATTTAAAAAATACAAAAAACTAAAAATAAATAAAATGATAAAAAAAATAATAGTAATAAATAAAAAAAAAACTATGTGTTTATACTGCAGCTGTTGAGGAACTAGTTAATAAAAATAAATCAATAAAAATTAAAATTAAGACACGAGTATTGAGAATACACTGAAAAAAATTTATGTAAATGTATAAATGTTATTAATAAGTGATACGATTGAATTTACAGCCATGGCAATGCAATAGCTACATATACATGCATAGGCAAATACACATTGCATACATACACGCATACATACTGAGTAACGGGAGGTGCAAAAACAGGTGTACTGAAAAAAATCAACACAAAAAGTTTAATTAAAAAAATTGAAATAAAAACACAAAACATGCCCATAACGGTAAACCAAAACTCAACAACAGCAAAGTGACCAACTGATGCAACAAAAAAACAACAAAAAGCGGTTTAAGCACCGCAGAACATAGTCATCGGGAACTTGTATGTCAGCAGCATTCCTTATAATATCTGCATTTCGATTTTGAATAATGCAAAATCGTAGGCACGTAAATAACGGTTATCGCTGAATTTTGCATACTGCGCACTTTTCACATTTTTCCTGCCTCAATAACACACATATTTATGGCGCATACCACACAAAAATAATGCATTGGAATTTTTTAGTGCTGCCAGATTGCTGCGTTTATTATTTCAATTTCAACTTATGCGCACTCAAAGCTAACTGTAACACATAACGCGCATTTATTTATTGTTTTTGTTTCTTATTCATTTTAATGCACTAACTATACACACTTACACATACAGACGAACAGTATATTGTTTTTTTTTTACCGCGCACAGTTGGTCATTAGTTGTGTAATTAAAAGTGCATCATTACTAATGAGTGTGTTATAAATAATTACCGAAATCGCAATTAAAAACTCACAACAGTACTGTACACACACACACACACTGATAAAAACACGAAAAATCGCACATATACACGCCATGCATACACATACATACATGTTTACGCATATCTGGTCGATTGCAGCGGAAATAAATAAATAGTAATGGAAGCGAGTAAATATTAGTCGTACGTAATGGCGAAACTTATAATTAATAAAACATCATGGAAAATTATGCACATTTCATGAGCAGCGTGTGTTGCATGCATGCGCTTGCTGCATTTGCAGGTGCTCGCAAGCATACACCCACAAAAACACACACACATAACTGCAGCGACTCATATGTATGTATTTGTAAGCGCATATACTCATTGAGCATTCATTCAAACAACAAAATAATAATTGTAATAAAAGTATAATGAAATTAAATTAACGAAGACTAAAAGTATTTGCGAGAACAAGAAAAAAGAAAACAAAAACACAATAAAAACAAATAAATGCAAAAATAATTACAATTAAACGAATTGAGTTTTTTATTTACCTACAAGGCATACATAACCTCCACAGGCATTCCACGGGCATTCCATTAGCAGGCAATATGCTAAATTTTGAAAGTGCGGTAAGTATATAAGACTGTGAATAAATTTTTATAAAACGTATGGAAAAAAAATTAATAAGAGAAGGCATACTTTAAATATTTTAAAGTGTTGGGATGCAAAAAAATAGTTTACTGGCTTTTTTATGAAATTTAAATAATAGTACGAATCCATAGAATCAAACTACAAAATTAAATCGCAAACTCGTAACTATAATTTTGATATTTAAAACTTATATCTGTATTATAATTTTTTCAACTATACGGAATCATCTATCGGTTTTGTTGATATGAAAGCTTTCTTTGAGTTAAAAAAAAAACAACATATTTAAGAAAAGTTTATTTAAAGGATTATAACCCCTTGCGTGTCAGAAAAAACGCGTTTTTTTTAAGGCATTATATTTAATAAATAAACAACAAATTTTAATTTACAGAATTTAATATACTTTAATAATCGGCAATTCATTTTTAAAAAGGACATCCTTTAAAGGAGGACATCAAATTATTTGGTGGCGAGGAATATTTTTCTGCTTAGAAGTAACTCAAAACCAAAAATCAAAAAGAGTATTATTAAACAATAAATGACAACAATGAATACAGGTACAAATGGCGGCTTTCCTACAAAAAACCTTACTTTATTTAAAAAAAAAAACTTGTGTGTCAGAGTGGCTTAAAAATCGAAATTGTTATTAAAAATCTTGAAAGTTTTCGCTCGTTACCTCGCACATATATCTACTTGTAAGAAGGTATTGTGAAAATTATAAGTCGATTCTGAAAACATCGGTTCGAGAAAAACGCGTTTAAGCTTTGAGAGATGATTACACCAATTTGAAATTTCTTAAGAATACGCTATTTGCCGGCTCAACTTCAAATTTTCGGAGAACAGTCTTAAATATGTATTCATATGACATTTACTAAAAAAAAACAGATTTTTTGAAATTTACTATTGGATATAACTTCTTAGGTTTCAGTTTTCTTAAATATTCAGAGTCATCTATATTTTTATTGCTACGGTAGCTTTTATTTAGTTAAAGGAACAACAAGATATTTGCGAAAAATTTCTTTAACTTAACCCCTCTGCGATTAGTTTGGACTATTTTTTTAATACAACAACAATGATATGACATTAATTATTAATCTCAACAAAACTTGCGCTCACTCAGCCAAAAAGTTTACCAATACTCTACCGAGTTTGCGGCTCAAATGATTGTCTTAGCTCGTCAATAGTTTGAGAATTGTAGGCTTGAAATTTTCATTTCAAACAAACTCTACGAGAGAAGCCAGCACAGTTAAATCCGGAATCCGGTTGGTCTTTTTTCTGAACTTATTTGACAATTATTTAAATATTAAAATTTATCAAAATTCGCCAAAAGTCATAACATTAAAGTCGACGCGGCACGAACACGACAACGATGTGACTTTTAAGGACTCTGGAAAGCATTATTTTTTACCATAATTGAATAAAAGAAGGCACACTCAGTAATAATACACACAGTCATCGACTATCCATACATTCTTAGCAGTCAAATGAACAACATATCTACACTTCGTGATGGGATATTAACACTTCATGTGAAAAATATCAAAATTGCTGAAATATTTCTAAAAGTGAAACAACTTGTTGGCGTGTGCCCCATATCAGCCAGGCTACATACATCGCGCAACCCCATGAATGGCACCGTGTATGCTCCTTTTCTCTAAAATATTTCAGAAGAGGAAATCATCAAAGCACTATCTTGCAAGCAGTATTAGAATGATGTTGATACCCATTTTTCAACTCATTCATCTTTCACCGAAGTAGATCTATCCGATATTTACTCACCTTCCCAAAGTTGTTTAAAAAATTTTGCCAAAAAAAGCATCATTGGCTTTCCAAGACGTACGTCCCAACAAATTTGTCCTGAGCGGCATGCCAAAGGCAAAACATCCGGTATCGATCGTATATCGTATGCGACAAACAAAACAAATAATCCCTCTATATCCTTCATTAACAACATCTTCGAGACAGGTTTCTACAGCCGAAATTCTCTTGGCTACCGATTTCGAGAAAGCCCTTGATCGCATTAGCGTTCACTCAGTACTTTACAGGTTGGTCCAAAAGTCTTTATGATCATAAAAGCATTTATGACACACCGACGTAATATTCTGCAATAATTATACCAAGTGTAATCTGCATAGGATACGAAGTGCTGCGCAGCCAATGCGCGTCCCATCGATGAAAAAAATAAATAAATCGGAAGGTGCCAAGTCTGGTGAAAACGGCAGGGGGATAGCAGCTCCCAGTCAAGTACAATACATTGATTGTATCCTGAACCGATTTTGCTTTGTGTGCAGGTGCAACAAAATTACTTGTCGTGTCTTCTGGCCCATTTTAGTGTTTTTTCTATCAATGTATGGTTCAAATCGATCATTTGTAGAAATTAGTATTGACACTTTCTCTAGGTTTTCGAAGCTTATGATATACCAGAGCTTTCTGATCCCACCAAACACAGAATATTGCCTTTTTACCGAATCGATCTGTTTTTGCAGTCGATGTTGATGGTTGTCCCAGGTTAAAACTTGATTTTCTCCATGTAGCATTTTTAAAATAAATTAATTTTCCTCGCTAGTGACAATTCGATGCAGAACTGATTTAGTTTTGTATTTTTGAAGCAAAATTTCACAACTGTTATTTTGGTTTTCCATTTATCTTTCATTCAATTCATGTGGCACCCATTTTCCACACTTTTGGATTTTTCCCATAGCTTTCAAACGCTCTGAAATAACAATAAATTTCATGGCTGTCATTCGCTTTTGACTTAAAGTATCATTTTCATCCTATATTGCTTGCACTGCTGGTCTTTCACGTTTTTCATTTCTCATATCAAAATCAATATCTCTAAACCGTTGAAACATATTACATGTTGCTTCTGATAGCGCATGATCACCATATGCCTCGACAAGCATTCGATGCGACTGCAGCATTTTTCTTCAAATGGAAACCAAAAATTAATGACATTTTTAACACAATGCAAAAACATCATGTTGTTTGTTCAATGACTTTAAGGTTGTTGAATATGTTTGACAGATGCCATGCCAACGGAAAAATTAAATAGGCCTCGTTCCCAACAAATATTCCCTACCAACACATTTGTATCTTCATGCTCACTTCATACCTGGTAATTTATTTAACGTAATTGTAAGTCTTTCGAAATAAGTGTAAAAGCCAAAAAAATACTACTCTCACAGTTACACTAGAAAGGTACATTAACGCAACTCAATGCTTCACTAAAAGGTATTGTTAATACAAGCAACAACACGACGTTACATGTATTTACAATACCCTTCAGTGACCAGATGAAATCCCAACAACAGATTGACAATGAAGGTGATAATATGTTCGCAGTGAATATAATTAATTTTCCTTTCAATTTCGATGCATTAAGTCGCAACTTCTTTTCATGGCTGAGTATCTTGTAAAGCCAAATGCATTAAAAACTGCAATGAAAAGCTGAAAAGGAAATACATTGTACTCGTGCAGGTTTTTTTTTTTTAAAAGTTAAAGGCAACCGATTACGGAAGCTTAAGAAGGTTGAAGCTTAAGGACATGAATACGTTGAACAACATACTGTCGATAAGGCAAATCAAACATTCAGTTGAAAATTGAGGTGCCGATAAGTAGAAAAATGAAGGGTAGATCATGGGAAAGAAATGCGGGTGTTTAAAGTTCACATTTTGTTACAGTTGCAATAAAAAAAAATACAAAATATTTTGCACATACTTAATGGGTTATATCGAACTACAGTTTTGCTGATAATTTCGATTTTTTAAGCTCCTCTGAAGTGTAAGTTTTGTCTCAAAACACGACATTAAAACCGCCATTTTGGCAAAATCAAAAGTTTGACTAGTCGTTCAAACACTACATATATTCATCTCTGGTGAAAATATATAGATATTTTTTTGGTTTTTATATTTGAATTAATAGTATACAGTCCTTAACGATGCATCGATAGTACCGTCATGTCATAGAAAGTTACAAATAGGACCACTCATTTTCGTTCTTAAACTGTGAAAATAAATAAGAAATGAAAAACAACGAAAATGTCGACGTAATGAGTTAAGCAACGAGCCTTTGGGTGAATGGAGACTGTACGAAATATGTGTCATCATCAAAGTGTTCAGTATTAGCGTAGACTGTAAGTTCCGTTTCTGTAATAGCATTTTAACTTGAGAAAATGGAAATTTCGACAATTCTGTTTTCTATCCTTTAAAGATTGAATTACTTTCCGCACAGACAAGAACACAAAATATTATATAAAATGTTACGTATACGCATTGGCAAACGTAAAGCAATTAAAATTGGTATATATTATACAATAAAAGAATTTAGCGAAAACTTTTTCTTAAATTTATTATAAATTCTTCGACGTTTTCTACTGGCTGCTACATACTATGTGGAGAAATTCTCTATCTATTCAGGGTATAAAAATTATGCTTGACATATGTAGAAAGCGGTCTCGAACTATGTAAAATCAACATTTAAAATACATTGTATTGAATAGCATATTGGCCAACAGAGGTTGTCAGATACACTATTGCTTCTTTAATTTCAAGTTTTTTTGTGTAGAAGAAGGGAAAGACCGGCAACAGCGTATTTTGAAGAATGATTAAAATTCGTTTCCTTAAAATATAAAAAGAATACAATGCATATTGTCCACAGGTCTTCCACATCACTGGGTCAACATGAGGTGGCTTTGTCTTAAGATCTTAAGATTCGACTATCATTGCTTCTTTTGAAGTTTGCGCCAGCAATACTGGAAACACTAACGAGTTGAAGGCAAACATTCGTGTGGAAATTAGCGCTATACTACTAGACTTGCTATAAAAGAGCGCACATTTTATTATGGCTAAAAGTTGGAGCAACCTGCATAAATATGCTATTAAAA